CTTGTGTTCCATGGAAAAAGGCCACTGTGGCTGGGCATTTGAGGCCTGCACCGCCTCTCTGCCATGCACTTTGTGGTTTTGCTCTCTCTCTCTCTCTCTCTCTCTCTCTCTCTCTCTCTCTCTCTCTCTCTCTCTCTCTCGCGCGCGCTCTGTGTGTGCCTTGCTCTCCCCCATTGTTTTTCTGTGCCACCTGTTATTGTCTGATGGGATGTGAATGTCTATAATACTCTATCCGTTACGCTGTTGGGAGTGAGTCTCAGAGGTTCTCGCTTCCCACATTCACTCAACTTGCTGTGCGAATTATTGCTGTTGTTCGCACTTCATTGGTTGTTGCTGTCACTATGCTGGAGTTGATCGAATGTTTATGGCATCAGCAGTTATTGGGAGCATGGGTGAGGTATGAGCTCAGCATGCTTTTTCATTGTATCACGGTAAGGATGGGTTGATGCGATTTTTCCAGTTGCTCATGTCGACCTGTGACAGTTGGCCACCACGCCAAGCCTTCTTTCTGAGTCGTCTTCTCTTCTCCTCGGTGATGGGCTCTGTAGTTGTGGACACGTGTACTGCTTGTGGTTGACTCCCACCACACATGCGGATCGTCTGTGTGCTTTTTGCTGTTCTTTGGCATGAAGGGATCTGAATTCTATCCGCAGTGGGATGCTAGTGCGGTACTTGAATGAGGAGATCTGAATTTCATCTACGTTCTGAACCAGGTGACTTGAAAAACAGAAAAAATCAGTGGTCATAATAGTTCTGTTGGCATAAAGGGGTTTGATGGATGCAGCGAGGGATTTGAAGACCTTTGGTCACACAGCAGTTTAGCTCGAATCCTAAATGCAGGGAAAGAATACTGATTTGGTGAATGCCCATCTGTTATGACGATGTAGTTCATCTGTTTTTTGTTTTTTTGTTTTCTTTTGTTCTTTTCCTGTTGTGATGATACACTTTGTCTTTTGAGAGATGCAGCAGTCAATATTTTGCGTTCTTCCTAAAAATGTGACCGTCATTGTTTGTGTTCGTAGAGATTCAACTGACATAAGTTGCACCCAGCAAGACATCATGATGGCATTCTGGTGCAAATCCAAGATAGTGAAGCTGGCGCTTACAGCAGGCGTGGGCTTTTCTTCGACCTGAGCAAAGAGGACATCGATGCTTTGCAGCAGATCAGGCGTATCGTAGCTTCGATGTCACCTCTCTTCAACATGTGAATAGAGGACATCTTCACGTCCACCTGCAGCCGCACCCGCCCAACCACACACACACAGACACAGAGAGAGAGAGAGAGAGAGAGAGAGAGAGAGAGAGAGAGAGAGAGAGAGAGAGAGAGAGAGAGAGAGAGAGAGAGAG